GTTAATGGGATTGGGGTTGGTGGCTTTGGCCCTTGCCCTGCCGGCGTAGGAACTGGGGCAGGTTCTGAAGAAGTGGCCCCCTTTGCTGCACAGGTAGCAGGGGCGTGTGGAGGTACAGTCTGAGGTGGGGTGGTTGTTTTTACAGATCTTGCAGATGAAGGCTGTGCAGGCTGTGGCCAGATGGCCCAGTTGGCCACAGATCCTGCACAGTTTGGGCATGCCATATTAGTGGATGGATCCTCTGTTGTTCCCCAGTGTGATGGTGCTGGGGAGGTGTTGGACTCCGCCCACTCCGGCTGGGTCCGGTCTTACTAGACCAGGCATTTTCGTGCCCCAGTCCAGACATTGTCTTCGTCCAAGACCCTCCTAGCCGCTGACTTGAGGGTGGCGAACCTGCTTAACCAAACGGGTATGTCATAGTCCTGGATGCATTCATTGTGAAGCTGTACTGTAACTACCTTGAATTCTGTGTCGGAAAGGGGGTATGCTCTGAGTCTGTTAAATGGGGCTGAATCTTTGCAATTTCAGAATTTTGACCAAAACGGTTCTGGTAACTGGGGGTCTTGAAACTGGCTTCAAATTATTCCTGTGGCCCTGGGGGTTTCACCAGGCAGTTCAGGTCAGACGGCACAAAGCTCATACTTCTCTGGAGAACTGTCCTGCTGAATTCCAGGCGGGTCATGGTTTCTGGTCTGGCTGTTGTTGTTGCTGCTTCTGCTGCTCCCCAGCGATTGGCGGCTCCGTCCTCAGCTGCCTCCTCGTTGGGTATTAGCATCAGCCTCACTGCATTGCAGTGGCACATCACTCCAGGGTTCATCCCAGTCATTTTGTTCAGGGGGGGTTGGGTCTGGTTGTTGGTCTGCTCCGGTCCTGTAGCGGTAGGAAGGACAAACCTCAGAGCAAGCAGACACAGCTGGAGGTCTGTGACCGAGAGGTCAATGGAGGCACTCTCCTGTGGTCTGCTCGTTCCAGGTGTAGGTTATTGACTTTGGTCCTTCCTCCGTGCCTCTGGTTCGGGTGGTGATGGTGTCTGGTCTGGTCCCTCCTTCTGTTGGTCTGCTCTGGGTGGTTGGTGGTCCTGGTCTGGTCTGTGGTGGCCTGAGTAGGGTAGATGAAAAAGAAAAGAAAAGCAGGGGAGGAGGGCTGCAGGCCAAGGGTAGATGGAGTCAGGCTCGCCTCGGCAGCACTCGATTCGCCTCAAGGCCGTTGTCTCCTCCTCAGGCAGCTGGTCCTTTGCTGGTTCTGGATGCTGGGGGGTCCGGGGTGGTCCGTAAACTGGGGAGTCAGGTCAGGCCTCGGTCAAGCCACTGTTACCTTTCTGTCTTCCCCAGTCCTTCCGGCGATTCCAGCCTTGTCTGCTGGACCAGAGAGACAGCGCTAACCGCGGTCAAACCACTGTTACCGTTGCTGCCTCCTGGTCCATCCAAAGAAAATGATAGTGAGAGGGTAGAGAGAAGGACACAACCCCAGAAGATCTCCACCACGCAGGGTTGTGCGTAATGAAGAGAATGCAGAGTTGACCTTGTGTAAGCCTATAGAGAATAGGCACGTTAGAGTGGATGCTTTTTGTCAAGTCGCTGACCATCGTTGGTCATCGCCTTTCAAAGTGTGTTGCATTATGGTTATAAAAGTTGTCCGACTTGCGACAACATGTCGACTGCATGAACTTAACAAAAATCATGTGATAAAAGGTCATGCAGTATTTGATGAAGTCACCTTCGAGTTGCTGCAGTTGCTTCTCACGAACTGCACCATGCAGTCATCACCTGCATTGTGGGCAACACTATTTGTCAACCAATCATTAGGGTGTTTTTGTTTGACCCATGGAAACGTGGCCAAAGACCTGACTGAAAGGGGAACCAACTTTGCTGTGATTCTAAAGCTACAGGGTATACAAATGGAAGTGATATTTGAGACCTCTCTAACCAATTATTGTACACAAATTATGTTTTCAGTTTGTGATTGTGTGATTTGGAGGTATAGAAACGTTTATTTTGATATTTATAAAAGAGTTGTATAAAAAATTGTAGCTATGTTGACACTAACATGTTGATATGAGCCTTGCTCTTGGAAAACCACTACAACGTCTGACTTTCGGCTGTCGCACCTCCCCGACTTCACTTATTAGGCTTACGGCTTGAACACACCCCATTCTCTAGTGGTGAGTAGATGCGCATTATTGTCGCTGTCATGTGGTGCTGAATTTCGGAACTTCGCTCTCGCCGGTGTCCATAGTTGTGAAATTTCCGCCATTAGCTTGATTTGTTTACGTTGGTGTGTGTGTCAAAAACCATTCTACTGTAACTGTAGAAACGAGCATCCACCACCAGAGGGCGACTAGATATCAGTTTATCAATGAGAAAGAGTGATTCTCTACTACAGTAGCTTTCATACATACACCCCTCATTGAGTAATACATTTACGTCATTTAGCAGACGCTCTTATCCAGAGCGACTTACAGTTAGTGAGTGCATACATTTTCATACTGGCCCCCCGTGGGAATCGAACCCACAACCGTGGCGTTGCAAGCGCCATGCTCTACCAACTGAGCTACACGGGGCCTATACACCCGTTGATGACGTCTATTAAGCTACTTAGTAATCTTATGATGATCATTCTAAAACATGTATCGTTATCCGACAGCTGCAACAAGAGACTCCGAAGACCCGGGGGGTGCCCAGACAATATTACCGTTTCTAGATCTTCACTAAAAGCTTATTGCAGCACGGTCTCCATTCTAAATGAACTGTAGGGGGACCCAATTAGCCTACTCAGGAAAGGCTGAGGGGGCTCGCCGTCCGTAGTTCTCACTGTATGAGGATACTCCTTCAGCAAGCCGCCTGCGGGAAACTTTTTAGTATTCTGGTGGGTGCGCCGGGTCTGGCACGAAAAAAGTGAAACTCATTGGCTCGTTACAAATTCCGCTGACGTCAGCGAGGGAGACAGCAAGATGTTTTCCCTCCCTGTTCTTTTATAGTAGCGGTATAGCGTCACTCATTATGGTTCAATTTGTATGACTTCCTCACACACACACACACACACGCGCGAGCGCACCCACAAAGTGCGCCCTACGCACACGCGCACACACACACGGCTCAGCTTCCCATAAGACAACTTGCGACAGACACTGAATCTAAAATGACTGTGTGAGTGGGTTCGTCAGTCACATCAGTTTTAATGTCGAAGAAAGGGGGAAGGTTCTCTTTTCCTTGTCAGTAGCTAGGTTTCCATCCAATTGGTGACAGATTTCCTTGCGACTCCCGAGTGGCGCAGTGGTCTAAGGCACTGCATCGCAATGCTAGCTGTGCCACCAGAGATCCTGGTTTGCAACGCCAGGGTTGTGGGTTCGATTCCCACGGGGGTCCAGTATGAAAAAAATAATAATAATGTATGCACTCACTAACTGTAAGTCGCTCTGTGTAAGAGCGTCTGCTAAATGACTAAAATGAAAATCTGCATAAAAAGAATATCCGTATTTTCCCACCATTTATGTGTTTCCATCAAATTGACGTGTTGCGGATAAAAGGCTTGCGTGATGAGGTAGTGCACATAAAATACCTTTTGCAGATAAATTCCCATGTACCGAATAAAAAATACAAGTTAAATGGGTTTACATCACATTTTCAACTCTACTTATCCTTTTCTCACAAATTATTTTTGCGTTATATAGCGATGTGCCCACTCTAGTTTTGTCACGTGCGCTCTAGCCGCAGGTATAGCCTACATGATGAGATTATTATGGACAAAAAAAGCAAGATTATTTTTATTTGTCAAATGGCAGCCAAGCATCAATGATCATGTCACCAGAATAAGCTCATCTCCTTGCACTTCACCTTTCAAGTTCATCATAACTTATTTCATCTGTAGCCTAATAAACTGCATGCTTTCCCGACGAGTCACAACATGTCATCGCGTGACTCAAAGTTTACTTCGAAATGATGGTTATTATATCAATGCTTGCGCATAAAAGTGTTTCCACCGACATTTCTCGCATAAATAATTGTACAGACCAAAAAAATGACATGTTTTATCCGACATGTACTTTACGCGCATGAAAAGGTTGGATGGAAATCTGGTTAGTAATGTGAAAAAACATTTAGCGAATATTTACACTCATGCGCATAGCTCATATGTGTGCTTGCGAGGGCACTCCAATAGACATTTCAGAATAGCCTACGATTGAACAAATATGTCAAATGTGAGAGAATATGTAGCATATCTGGACTTGGATTAAAAGTATTTTATCAGCATTAGTTTCCAGAGGTCAGACAGGATAGCGTTGCTGCGTTGATGAATAAAGAATTGCATTCCCATGCAATGAGCTATATCTGGGATACAACATCTCACATAGGGTTGTCCTAACTCTTCTGCTTTTCCTATCATAGGCTGTCGTGAGAAATTAGAGTTTCCATAGCTTAGAAAATAATAGGCTAAATGCAAGGTCACCGATTTGGCCCTTGTAGAATTTATAGCAATAATAAAATGCCATTTAGCAGACGCTTTTTATCCAAAGCGACTTACAGTCATGCGTGCATAATTTTTTTGTGTATGGGTGGTCCCGGGGATCGAACCCACTACCTTGGCGTTACAAGCGCCGTGCTCTACCAGCTGAGCTACAGAGGACCACTTAGCATATAGGCCTATGGACACAATTATAGCAACATGATAAACATTTTTTTGGCAGAAGCTGTGTCTTCTTCGTCCATAGTAAACATATGATTAAATATTATAATAAATATAGTACACTACAAACATACAAATCAGAGAAATATTGGCATATTCGTAATTTTTTCTCTGTTGATGGCACAAAGGAAAGGGGCTTATAGAGGTGGTCACTTCTGAGTCCATGGTCTCACCTCTCCAGACACCAGCAGTGTAGTCCTTGGCGCTCACGTGTGCCCTTGACCCAGATATCACCACAGGTCTTTTAATGACTGTAAGGTGTGGGCTAGGAGGAGGAAGGGGGAGTCCGACAGTCCCTTTTACGTCAAGCATGCGATGTGGGCGTGAAGCAGAACGAGAGATGGAGAGAAAGTGAAGAAAAAAAAGAGCCATCACCGCCCTCGCTTTACAAGGGGTGCACCATTTCCCTGCTCTTCGCCACACTGAGTGTAACAGGCAACGGGAGAAAAAGCAAGAGTCTGTGAATGCTGCTGGAAGTTGTTGGCTATGTGTGATGCCCAGACTTCAACATCGTTTTTCCATCCAAGTTTTTAAGATCTGCATACGCCAATGGTTTTACCACACGTAGAATGGGATTAACTTGGTCCGGCAAATATATCTCACTGTTTCTTGCTGTTCAGTTAGGTGAGTAACTCTTTCACGGTCGATTCGTTATTGTTTTATATGTGAGTTAACAGTGAATAGCGAATTGTTAATAATGAAAGCCAAACTATTTGCAGGTCGGCATTTATTGTCATGACTCTTGTACTGGAGGCAGGCAGCTCTGTAGTGGTCACTAGCTGGAAAAGTCACAAAGTCATAAAACCATACTGCTAACCCTAATACCTAACCCTAACCTTAAATTAAGACCAGAAATAAAATGTTTGTTTTCACATATTTTTCTGAATATAGCTAATTTTGACTTTGCAGCTGGCCCATCTAGCGGATATCGCTCAGTTCTGCCTCCAGGGCAAGATTCATAACAATAAATGTCAACCTCCAAACTATTTGTAATCAACTATTCGATCGTTTCTTGCAGGAACAAATCTGTATTTTTTATTGTAATGAAAGCATGAAATCAGTTTATTATCTGGCTATATGCATGAACTAATTTCGTCCGATAATAATAGACACAACAAACCAAAGGCTATGTCAAATTCCACGTTTTTTTCCATTCGTTATAAAGGAACACGATTTGAAACTAAAAATGTATTTTCTTTTTTCAATTATATGAGAATGTACCTTTAATTTCGATTGGAAACGTGTATGGGGCCGTTCGCACAAATAGGCCAGTGTTTCGTTTGCATTGCATAACGCAAACGCTGCCAATGGAAGACTACTGCTCCTCAGAATCCTGTAGTGGCAAGGGATTTATGAATAATTCAGCAGCGGAGCCATTGTGAAAAAAAATTACGAAACAGAAATGCTGTGACATGACATGCCTTGTGAATGAACATTTTAACAAAAAGACATGCAGCATCTAAAGGCAACCAAGCTCTTTCAAAATATAAGTGCCTAGCAGGTGCCACGTTTCTTTTTTTCAAACGAAGTGCATTGAGTATAGGTTAGCGATATGATAATTGTCTAATGTAAAATAGGATTTAGATCATTTTTCATTAACGAATATGACTATTAGACTATATTTAGTCTACGTAGATAAAATGTCTTTAAAATAATATTTTATTTGGATGAAAGAGCTTTCTATTCAACAAAATAATGTAGACGACTATAGAGATACAACTTTTTGTTTAAATCTATGGGGCTGTCTGGCCTATTCCATTTGGAGGATATCTTTCGATTATAGCTATGGTGTAATTTTGTCCGGTAAAAATGTAGGCTAGCCATATCCATTTATTGCATCGCTTATTTGAAATGTGGTATCGCTAACACGTAGCATAAGCCTACAAAACGACAAAGTAGTAGGCTATGGATAGTCGTTTTCATCATTTAGATATTAGGTGTTTTGTCTTTGACTGGGTCGTCCGCAGAGTTGGTAATTCAGAGGGTTATTCTTCGTTTATGTGCGGTGTACATTTTCTGCGGGTTGACTCTGCTTTAGCTCTATCTATAGTGTGGGTGTGACTGGTAGTAGCATGCAGGCTACTGTAGCTATATGGCTATCTATTGGAGCTGAAAGCTGAGGTAGCCTATATGACGTATGTGTGATAGAACACGTGTGATAGATCCTGCAATGTCTTCATTTCAAACATTGAGCAGAAATTGTCCTTAAAAGGAAAATGGGATAGAGGGCATAGCCATTTCAAACCTGTTATTGCACGTGTAAAAATCATTAGGATACAACATTTTACAATAGATTTTTCTTACTAAAACGAATTAAAGTAAAGTGACATTAGGTTATGTTATATTATATAAACAAGTTCTGCATTATAGACTGTATTGGATCGAATGTTAACATCCTATAATTCGAAGGGGCCATGTAAATTACTGTAAATCTTGCCATTTTAAGCATCATATAATTTATGACCATAATGACAATTGCATTTCGAAGTCGAATATAGAGACAGGGTTTGTGCCAAATGAGAGCGGCACACGTTGAAGTGCTATATGGGGGTTACGTGTAATTTTACAATGCAAGTGTGATCATATGATCTCGCGAGTTGCCCCTTTATAAATAATCCCTGCAAAACGCTTTTGCAATCCGGTTGCTCGAGACGCAGTAACATTTATTAATTATTGCCTTCCGAATTTAGTCAATAACTTGACCTTGTCAGAATCTATTACACATTTCCGCATAGCATACTTGGTGACATTGGATTGCTTAAATTGTAGGCAACAGCTTGATTTGAAAGGGCAGGATGGCAATGACAGTAGCCTCACATTTTTTACAACGATATTTAACGCATAATGCCTGTATTATCAACACATCACCTAAACCTAAATACCTATAACCGAGGTTGTTAGTATTTGTCCCCAATACTAGGCTATCCCAGGCTACACTGATGAATTTAAATGAAACCAGTCCATCGCTGTCGTTCCCTTATTATTTATTGATAAATAGCCTAACTGTGTAGCCTTCATGGTGCATTATTCTGCAACCAATCGACCTGGGACAACATTGTAACAAATGATCAATTGAGCGAATCTTCTGCTTAACGAACCAGAGATGCTTGGTGCGTCCCACCATTGGCAACCTCAAAATTGAGTTCGAGGGGGTCAAACGGGTTGGATTGAAGGCGTGCACGTTTAGCAACAAACCCTGTAATTTTCTCTGTTCAACAAATTATAGACGAACTCCCCCTAATATGGTTTAATAAACAAAGACACAAATATTACTACAATTTACTATAGCGTACCACAAGACCCCACCCCCACACACTCACAAAAGCCATGCAGTGAGAAACACCCCCCCTTTTCTAGCTCGGCGGTGCATTACCTCATCCTCCTTTGTCGCTGTTGCGCACATTTTCTGGGCTGGGATCACCCAATACATTCTCCAAACAGAGTGTATGATCAAATGATGTAAAATCAGATGTACAATTGTTGGATATATTAAAACTAGCATTATATTAGGCGAAAATTTTAAGATATTTCTTGACAGTAAGTTATAGGGTTAAGTTTTAAACATGCCCATATAAAACTACCCAAAAGGCTGAATTAAGGAAATACATGAATGAATGGACAAACTGGATCAAATTAAAACGAATCACCATAAAAAGCAACTATTAACTTACCCTGTCATTATAAGACATATGCTATCGAATGTTGGGGGTAAACAAAACATCATTATCCTAAAAAAAGTTAATAAATTCATTTCCCCCCAATTCCAGCTTATCTGCTACAGGCGGTGAGAGCAACAGGGAAATGTGATACAGTATTCAAAGGGTTCTCCAACTGCTTGCTGAAACTCGGGGAGAATATGGCCAACTATCCACAGGAGCTGGACGAGAAGGAAAATCTTCAGACCATCTGCACGTAAGTTGTATTCATAAAAAAAAAAAAAAAAAAAATCTAAAAAGGGGCAGGCGCACTGCACCCCATATACCAAACCGGTTGGTGCCAGATGGCAGGAGAGCCGGCAGCAGGAGCACGTTAATAGGCTAGGCTACTCCCCCTATTCGTAGCTCACTCCTTAATTGCAATGAGATATACTATCGACATGGCGTGGGGTTGAGGGGGGTCAATATCAACAGCCTCGATTAGATTAGATACAGAGTCAGGTTCAGGTTCAGGGGGAGCCACGCGCCAGCGGGTGTCTCAATATGAAGAAGAAGAAAATGGAGCAGTGGCTCCTTTGAAATGTATAGCCTTTGTGTGAATGTAATATTATAGCCACTGTTCTTACTATGTTAATACAACTGTGCATGTGATTGGACGTTAGGGATGTGAGAGAGAGAGAGAGAGAGAGAGAGAGAGAGAGAGAGAGAGAGAGAGAGAGAGAGAGAGAGAGAGAGAGAGAGAGAGAGAGAGAGAGAGAGAGAGAGAGAGAGAGGAGAGAGAGAGAGAGAGAGAGAGAGAGGAGAGAGAGAGAGAGAGAGAGAGAGAGAGAGAGGAGAGAGAGAGAGATTGAACGAGGGAGGGGTTGGATAAAATTACGTGACTTTAGGGAATCTTTCTCAGAGTGTGTAGATCACAACCAACGTGGTTTTCGTTTAGCCTACAAGGGAGGTGCTAATACTAGACTATACTATTAGGCCGACTAAAGATTACAATACAAAACTATAATCGAATTATTATTATTATGCATTTATTGCTGGAATGATTTTTGGCCATCTAATATTATTACAAAACTCGAATATAGCACAGACAACCAATGAGGAGAGAAAACAAGTTGTCAACAGTAGGCCAATATAATGTAACGCATGTCTTAATTGCTTTTACATTTGATTTGCAGATATTGGGATGACTTCCACTCATGTGCGACCACTGCGCTGGCGGATTGCCAAGAGGGAGCAACAGACCTATGGGAGAAGCTCAAAAAGGAGTCCAGAAACTTGGAGTTCCAAGGAAGCTTGTTTGAACTCTGTGGTGGGGGGAACGGGGCCTCCAAATCCACAGTTCATTTTGGTCTCACCATGCTTCTAACGGCACTTTCAGCCCTAGTGACTTGGCTTGCTTTTTAGCACAAGAAGAAAAAACTACAAAGAAAAAAAGCGACAAAAAAAGAAACAAAGAAGAAAAAAGAAAAACGAGTGCTAGCTATCAACACAAAAAATACAAAACAAAAGACGTTTGAATTAATCTACACCCAAATGGATTTATAGGCTACTTCATCCGGGGAAGGCGACCTGATTTTGCAAGAGACATTGGCAGGCCGTCTTCCGGGACTGCTCCACCATATTTGTCTGACCTGGGGTCAACTACATTAAATATTTAGCAGGTGTTGAGTTGAAATGATAATGAAATTATGATGGGTCCTCGCCTGAATACAATCGTGGAATGACATAGTATTAAAGTCGACGATGAATTATTTATATTAGTAGCCTAGGCCTAGACATCCCTGTTATTTCAGGTGATTGCATTTCAGTCTCCCGAGTGGCGCACTGGTCTAAGGCACTGCATCGCAGTGCTAGCTGTGCCACTAGAGATCCTGGTTCGAATCCAGGCTCTGTCGTAGCCGGCCACGACCGGGAGACCCATGGGGCGGCGCACAATTGGCCCAGCGTCGTCCAGGGTAGGGGAGGGAATGGCCGACAGGGATGTAGAGCATGGCGTAGAGCATGCAACGCCAGGGTTGTGGGTTTGATTCCCACCGGGGGCCAGTATGAAAAATAAAAAGATAATGTAAGTCGCTCTGGATAAGAGTGTCAGCAAAATGTAATTGCGAATTGCAAGCTACTCATACTCTGTAGGGTAATGCGAGGAATGCTTAGCTCAACGAAATCAACGACAGAAAGGCAATTTGGCTCCAGGTCGGTCTACTATATTCACCATTTAGATATTTTATTTACTTTATTTTGCCAAATGTATAATGTCGAGCCAAGTATGAATCGAAAAGGTTGTTTGAGGATCTGATATTTCTACTTTCATATGATGCCTATCACCCCAGAAAAAAATTATATAAAATAGCATAGTAATAAGAATGAAAAAATAGATCTCAGGAATGACTACAGGCATTCAATGGTACGTTTTGATGGTTGGTTATTAAGCAAAAAATTACGGCAATACGATTACTTAAACTTGGCCAATGTAGCGAACGAAAACAGTGTTTAAATAGTGATATGACTGTTGCCATTCTATGTTAGCGCATTACCATCCATTTATGAATAAATATAGGCTACGCCTAGGACTAGGGTATAGCCTACATTAAACCATACATCCCAAAAGAACAGTAGCACGAGAACACTCAGAACGCGAAATCAATAGCTGGATGAAGTGACATTTTGCTAGCTTTTATTGATGTTGCCAAGGCATAGACCCCGTTTCACTGCCTTCAAAAATATGTGTATTATGTTTGTTTGTTTGTTTGTTTGTTTTTGGGGATGTTGCATATAATACCTGACTATTCCAAATCATTTAAGTAAATAAGAGACTATGTATATCAAAGGAATTTTGAAAAAATATATAGAATCTACTTTATCCCAAACAGTTTTAAAAACAGATTGATTATTATACAGGTATATAAAAAATCAGATTGCTAAAATTATGAAGAATATTAAATAAAACAGTTAATGTTTGAAAATAAGTGTGTGGTTCTATTCTTAGTTGTGTTCCCAAATGTTAGTTGTGTCCATTCATGGCTTTGAAGCAAACGAGATGATGCAGTCAATCATTTAGCATTCATATACACACAGACACAGACACAGACACACACACACACACACACACACACACACACACACACACACACACACACACACACACACACACACCACACACACACACGGCAGATGCGTTTTGCATTAATAATAAGAAAGAGTCAGCCCTACAACAACCACAGCTTCGAGTATTGATTTGGGGGAGGGGAGAAAGCAGCAGACCAACTATTGCTGTTTGTCTATCTGAGCAAAAACGTAAAATCTCAACGCGACTAGCTAATGTTGCTAGGAAAAATAGAAACATTGAAACAGGCTACAGTATTTCGAATAAAAAAATACTTCTGTCTCTCTCTGAAAAGCATCCTAATACAATGGGTCCATGGCCGTGCAAAATATTACATGGAATCGAGATTAGGAGTGGCATGCGACAGGCGTTTCGTGGCATAATAATAATAATATGCTTTTATTCAAAGCGACTTACAGTCACGTGTGCATACATTTTTACGTATGGGTGGTCCCGGGGATCAAACCCACTACCCTGGCGTTACAAGCGCCATGCTCTACCAATTGAGCTACAGAGGACCACGGCATGAGCCCTAGTGTTAAAACAACACATTTAGCACGTGATTTTTTAATATTGAGGCCTATATGTTAAAAAGTGGGAAAGCAATATGGTAAAGCAAAAAGGCTAAAACATTTTTAGACGAATATTGCTAACATTAATCAGAATCTCATTTGTATTTCCTGTCCCAAACGGAATACAGATTTGATTTCAAAAGCGTGCTCCTGCATTAATATGGATGAAAGTTTAATGAATGACCATCTCTCTTTCCAAGAAGAGAGATAAGCGTACAAGCTGCCTCTATTTTCTATTTATTTTCTTTAAATCGTTGTATATTTGAGCAAAAGGATGACATTGCATACAGCGTTTGTAGGGTTGATTTTCTTATGGGTAGGGCCTATAACTATAAGCCTATTACGTCATACTTTATCTTTCTCGAAATAGTATAGCCTACTTTATTCCTTCTCCATATTTTCTACAGAATAATAACCTAATAACAAAACCACAAGCTCTAACAGAAACATTTGAGCGGCTGTTATCGCCTCGGCGAGATATCCCCCTGAAATCCTCCTTAAAATGCATTCTACTCCGGATGTTCTCCCTAGTTCTATTCACCGAAGCACCGCCTGTTATAGCCTATACTGTTGCCTATAAAGAGACATATGTTGTGAAATGTCCTATGAGTAGTAGCCTAACATGACTATATAATGACGAAACCCCTATATCAGTATAAAAAAGAAAGAATAATCACAATTAGAATACTACATGAAAATAGCTTAATATCTTATGAGTTGAAGAATTGAAGCAGGCTAGGTCACCATGGCAGGTTTTCGTTTTTAAAGTTTAGCAGCTTGACAGAAAATTCGACTATATAGAGCTTGTTCTTGATTCAAACTACTGTTGACTGATAAAAAACAAACAAATATTCACATTTGATTATCTTACATGGCATATGCTATCTACATACACTATATATACAAAAGTATGTGGACCCTTCAAATTAGTGGATTCGGCTATTTCAGCCACACCTGTTGCTGACAGGTGTATAAAATCGAGCACACCGCCATGCAATCTCCATAGACAAACATTGGCAGTAGAATGGCCTTACTGATGAGCTCAGTGACTTTAAATGTGGCACCGTCAGAGGATGCCACCTTTCCAACAAGTCAGTTCATTAAATTTCCGCCCTGCTAGAGCTGCCCTGGTCAACTGTAAGTGCTTTTATTGTGAAGTGGAAACGTCTAGGAGCAACAACGGCTCAGACACGAAGTCGTAGGCCACACAAGCTCACAGAACAGGATGCCAAGTGCTGAAGCGTGTAGCACGTAAAAAGAGTCTGTCTTCGGTTGCAACATTCACTACCAAGTTCCAAACTGCCTCTGGAAGCAACGTCAGCACAATAACTGTTTGTCGGGAGCTTCATAAAATGTGTTTCCATGGCCGAGCAGCCTAAGATCACCATGCGCAATGCCAAACGTCGGCTGGAGTGGTGTAAAGCTCACTGCCATTGGACTCTGGAGCAGTGGAATCGCGTTCTCTGGAGTGATGAATTATACTTCATCATATGGCAGTCCGACGGACTAATCTGGGTTTGGCGGATGCCAGGAGAACGCTACGTGCCAGAATGTATAGTACCAACTGTAAAGTTTGGTGGAGGAGGAATAATGGTCTGGGGCTGTTTTTCATGGTTCGGACTCCTTAGTTCCAGTGAAGGGAAATCTTAACACTACAGCATATAATGACATTCGAGACGATTCTGTGCTTCCAACCTTTGTGGCAACAGTTTAAAGAAGGCCCTTTCCTGTTTCAGCATGACAATGCCCCCATGCACAAAGCGAGGTCCGTACAGAAATGGTTTGTCGAGATCGGTGTGGAAGAACTTGACTGGCCTGCACAGAGACCTGACCTCAATCCCATCGAACACCTTTGGGATGAATTGGGACGCCGACTGCGAGCCAGGCCTAATCGCCCAATATCAGTGCTCGACCTCACTAATGCTCTTGTGGCTGAATGGAAGCAAGTCCCTGCAGCAATGTTCCAACATCTAGTGGAAAACCTTCCCAGAAGAGTGGAGGCTGTTATAGCAGCAAAGGGGGGACCAACTCCATATTAATACCCATGATTTTGGAATGATATGTCCGACGAGCAGGTGTCCACATACCTTTGGTCATGTAGTGTATATCAGAATTAGCCTGTATAGGCCTATACGATTTTATGAAAGCATAGGCCTATACTTCTCTAATGCATGTTTCTATTCACATTAATGCTAAGTAATTTTGTCTCTTTGGCTTTTTTATATTTGTCTGTGAACCATGTGTAATCAGAATACCAAGTAACCTATCCCTATTTGAACCATGTGAATTAATGCAAAAGAAACTCAAGATACTCAAGATAGATAGAAAAATGTCCATAAATACCAAAAAAATGATAAAGAATAAGCTATTTATGTTTTCCAAAGATATAGTTCAACAAGATCAGAATATAATGCAGACTGAGGAATTTTGAAGAGCAAGAGGACGAATACCTCTTTTGGTCACTTCAGCAAACAATGACATATTTCAAGTCGGTGTTGGCAGACTGCCAATGTACCTATGCCTGTGCCAGTCTCAATAAGATTCTGCCTCACCTTTCAAGGCCTCCTCTTACAAAGAGAGCCGTCTCACTGTATCAAGGTAGGGTATTGAGGTCAAATTGGCCTTAGGTTCTTGCTTCAGCAATTAACTATTTACCACGAGTTGCATTGATGTACCCAGTAGACACTTCCTGTAGTAGTTTCACTGAAGAATATCTGATCTTTGTTTGAACTTGGTAGATAAGTATGGCAGGTTGTAGCAGCCAAAGTTTTGAACATGGGAGAGGATGTGGTCAAAAGCCCTGCCTTCCGTTTAGTACCTGTAGTCTTTCAGGACCGTGGACAGCTCTTAACCTCCCAGCCCTGCTGTTCATTCAGCACCATGTACATGTAGGTCTAAGCCATAGAGATAGATAGAGGACACATCTTTATATCTGTGCCATTATAGCGTCTGTGACAGCATGGGCAGCACCATTGAGGCTACAAGCCATAGGAATCCCCACCCAGTTGACAACATTGACTACTTTAAAATAGCAAAAGCATGGTGGAAGCCCTCAATGGCGCTGACCTGCTAAAACAGCCTTTTGGCCACTAGAGGCTTCTATCATTCTCTATTGTCTAAGCCAGTCAGTCAGTGAGTCAGGACCATGGAGAGCTCCTACATTAGCTAGCCAG